AAGAGCTCCCACCCCGAGAGCATCCTGGAGTCACCGAGTTTCCTAAACATGTGATTGTACCCGAGAGGAGTTGGAACTGTGCGTGGGTGCTGCTCTTGCTGCTCTGTCTTGCTGGGGACTGGTGCAGGCATCCACTGCTGCCTCCTCTCACCCAGGAACCTGGAGAATGACACAAAACACTGCTTCTGAAAAAAAAGAGTCACATCTCTGTTAGACTCTGATTGCCAATTAAGAAATATCACAAGAGGACCAGCACTGTTACTTTTGCCTTAGAAATCTTTCATAGGTGCATCTGCAGGGCCTTGTTGGAATCCAGAGTGCTAGCTGCAAAAAACCCCTAGGAAGTGCACATTCAACTGTGAATTCTCTTTAAGACAGGAAGGTACTATGCAAAGGAGTCAAGTGAAGAAGTTCAGTCGCATGGTATTCCACACAGCTGTGGGCAGGGAGAGTTCTTTCTGGCCCAGCCTTGGTGGCCCAGTGGGTAGTGTACTGTACTGCTGCACTGGAAGCTGCATCAATGACTGTGGCTTTGGCTCTCAGTAGACCTGAAACCATGCTGAGTGCACAAGTTCCCAGGATCCTGGGGAACTAGAGGGTTGGGAAAAGAGGTTGGGGCATGATGATACACTGTCAAGGGGACTTCTCTCTCTATTGCATGTGTGCTCCCACACACTCTCTCGTTAATAAAAGAAACTTTTTTCTGTAAAACAAAGAAACAAAAACAACCAACCAACCAACCAAACAAACAAAAAACAAGTAAAGCACTGTGTAGAAGGAGTTGGATCCCTTATGGCCAACTGCAGTTCAACCTGGCCAGATGTTTGAAAAATATTCAGGACACTTGTATGCATGCCCAGTATTCTGATGGGATGGAGAAATGAAGGAAAAGAAGATTGCAGCATGTCCAGGCCCCATTGGTATTCTCTCTCTCATGCATGCACTGACCTTCTGGCATGAAGAAGAAGGAGGAGAAGGAAGAGGAGGAGAAAGAGGAGGAGGAGGAGGAGAAGGAGGAGGAGGAGAAGGAGGAGGAGGAGAAGGAGGAGGAGGAGAAGAAAAAGAAGAAGAAAAGCAGTTATCTGTATTTATTTAGTGAGAATAAAGAGGCTATAAGAGATGCTTTCCTGTACTTGACATCGGTCCTTGTATAGGTTAGAAAAAAACACTCTGTGCATCACTAAGACACAATGCAATGATCTGGGAATATGGGTTCATTCAAATCAAACCACATGAAGAGAGCTTTTTTCAGATGGTAAGCTAGAGAACTGAATGACTATAATGCATCTAGTTTTTGAGAAAGCTGTTGTCCCTTTTGGTATCTTTCATGCCATTGTGGGACAAACTTGAGAACTGTGGTTGAGATGGTGACTTAGTGGAATGGATTTGTAATTACTAGAAAAATGTAAAAACTACAAAGTAGATACTTGTGCCACTGTCACATATGCTTTCTCTTGCCCTGTATTATGTAATGAATCTGGGAAGGACATTGATAGTTAAAATAGCAATAACTGTCACGAACTGAGTGTTCATCCTAGGTGAGGCATTAGACACACACTATGTACTCTTTTATTCCTTAAAACAAATATGTTAAGTTATTGTCTCCATTTTAGATGTGGGGAAAGTGGTGCCAGAAAGTGTAAATAACTTTCCTATAGCTACACATCTAGCAAGCTTCAGAGCTGAGAGTCATACCTAAAATTGCTTCAAGGAAGAGGTCCAGAGGGATGGAAAATGCCATGATTCTTCTAGAAAAACTGGCCAGTGGATTGTCTGCCAAGAAACCTCAGAGGGTGGCATTTTCTCATACATAGCACATGAGGGAGGGGGTTGGCCCTCTGCCTCGCAGGATCTGGTCAGTATCTCAGAGACTCAAACGCACATTGACAAGACTCACAAACATCTCATATACAAAAAAACAGATGCCAATTTATTAAATTAAATTATGAACTATGTAATGGTTGGGTTGACCAAATATAGGCAGCAGTTTTGCATGCAGCATTCTCAAGGAGATCCCGATGGACTGCAGAGAACAGAATTGGCTCAGTGAACCTCTGATCAGAGCGCAAACTGGCCACAGTGTCAGTCACAGTATCTATGTGTCCACCTGCCTGGCTGACTGGACCCCTGTACCTTATTGGGCCAGGCAGTGCCAGAATGTGCCTGACTCTCTACACCCTTGGGAGTGAGTCCCTTGCTTTCTCTTAACATTTTAATGATTTTAGCTAAGTTGATTTTGGCTTAAAATTCAGTCCTCTTTAAGGTAACTGATCAGTTTTCTGTTTAACTTCAAAACATGAGCTTAATTCCTCTATTTCCAAGTCCTCTGACGTCCTTGCTGCATTGCCTATAAGATGCAAGTCCACTTGACTCTCTTCCTCACTTGCGCTGTCACTGGTAGGTTAAAAAGAATAAAGAATTTAAGCACCAGTGCTGACATATGTAAAGTCAGCCAGTGTAGCACATTTTAAAAAGACACTATTTTTAATTAAAATGGGCTCATTGTGAGTAAATAATGTATAATGTCTTTGCTAAAGAAGCCAGGATATATTGAGCTGTGCTAATGTCAGAACATGATTGTTAGTGAATGACCGAGTGAATAAATGAAGAGTTGGTAGCTGTACCCTAATCTTCAATGACACTCCATGTCTAAAGTAGCAATGCTTACTTAGTTCAAGGTCCACATTTTCAGAGAATATTGACAGACTTGTACATATTCAGAGGAAACTGACCAGATGGAGATGGGATTTGAAACTGCATTCTGACAAATGGTAGTAGGATACTGGTGCTATTTAGTTTAAGAAAGAAAAGACTTAAGGGAAAACAATGAAAGCTGAATTACCAAGTGCTAACTTTAGGTCAGGCATTGTGCGCAGTGTTTTAATGGATTTCAAACATATGGTCCTTCATAATGAAAAGAGAACATTATTTTATTTATTTATATATTTATTTGATAGATTTTGCTGTAGAGCAAGTGTGCTTGCTGGAGAGATAGAGACAGAAAGTGAAAAATCGTCCTCTAGAGGTGATGGCCACACCACAATCCGTTCTCCTCCATTCTTTCCTCAGGATTTTGGGCATGCATGCTCATACACCTGGCATGAATTTTAAGTTGCTGGGTCCAGGACTTGAACCATGATCAGCCACATGGGAGTCCAGCACCTTAACCACAATGCCACTTGCTGGCCTCCAAAGGCAGTTGCCCCAGAAGACAGAGTGCTGATAGTAGTCAGTGGAAACCAGAGAGATATCCCTGTGTGTTAGAATGATGGCATTTCTACTCTCAATGCAGAACATAACAGGAGTTGGTCCTCAAATAACATAATGAGTAACCTTTATATTAAAGAATTATTGTGTCTAGTAGATGGCATAATGGTTACGTCGCTGAATTGCCATGTATTCAACTGTGGTTTGAATCCTAGACCCGGGGACTTAAAAACTCACACCAGGTGCATGTGCATGCATGCCTAAAATTCCAAGAGGGGAATGAAGGAGAAAGGATTGCAGCGTGGTGGTCATCCCCCCTGGGGTGTGGTTTCTTGCTTTCTGTTGCTCTGTCTCTCTGGCGAGCATACCCGCCCTATAGCAAAAACCTCTCTTGAAAAAAAAAAAAAAAAGAATTGCGTGTTTTGGGAGCTGTATTATAAGTGGACACTGGTTAAACTTTTGGTGGAGATATTTTAGAGAGGAGTGATTATTAAATGAAGGCATGAAACAGATATTCTCTAAGATTTTGCTCACCCTTACCTGTGAGTCTATTCTTATCTTACAGAATGGTAATGTGTTTTGTCTTTTAGTTTAGCGGCTTGAACTGAGTGACCAATGCCACTTCCATTCTATTCATCAATTTTAGGGGGTCCTGGCTTCTGCATTCCCTTCTGGTGACAAAGACGAAATGAAATGGAATCCAAAGTAACAGGTGTGGGAAACATTTGTGGGTGCATCATTAGGTCTAATAACAGGATGAGCCCCTTGCACTTGTTTGACCTCTAGGTCCTTGTGCTCTGAGTGTGAGAGAAACAGTGCCTTCTGTGATTTATATTACCTTTACAAAGCATGTTAAATTATCGATCTTAGGCAGTTTGAAGCCTTCAAATGCTAGTTGCTTCTATTTCTGTCTTTGTATTTAAATGCAGCTATTTGTGTGTCTGAAGTCCCCTCTGATTGCATTCCTTATTCTGAGCTTTGTTACCATCAATGAGTGCACTTTAATCATCAACCAACCTGTGTTTTCATGGCAATTTAATTCGTGGCATCTTAAAAACTGGTTCCTAAAAATGAAAAAAAGATGAACATCTCTTAAAATAACCCAAAATGATGCAACTTTATGGTTAGAGAAAACTTAACCATTATGTATTTTTTTTTCTTTTTTTCTTTTTTTTTTGGAGAGGTTTTCGCTATAGGGCGCGTGCGCTTGCCAGACAGACAGAGAGAGACAGAGAGACAGAAAGCGAGAAATACCCCCCAGGGGGGATGGCCACACCGCAATCCCTTCTCCTCCATTCTCCTCTCGGGATCTTGGGCATGCACGCACACGCGCCCGGTGTGAGTTTTAAGCCACCAGGTCCGAGACGCGAACCGCGGTCAACTACATGGGAGTCCAGCGACATAGCCATTACGCTAACTGCTGGTTCCCAACCATTATGTATTAATAGATGAGAAATTCAAGCTCAGAGAGATTAGATGACTTGCCACCATCATAGACCTGGTGGGAAAGTAGAGCTCTGCTTTTTCTCCCCCTCACAATTGTATAACTGATGCAATTATATGCTGTATTCTAGGAAAGACTCTTCTCCTTCTCATCTTCCTCCTTGTTCTCCTTCTTTTTCTCTTCCTAGCAAGCAGAGTTTCTATACTAGTCATTCATGTCTTTACTTACAGTGTGCCTGGCATGTGACCTGAGGAGAGTTCCAGAATAACTTCTCTTTACCATGCCTTTAGGTAGGCAGGAGTTCTGAGGGACTTAGTTCTTAATTCTGGTTGCTCTTGGGTCTCTGCAGTGCTGCGTATGATGCTGTCCTTGATAGAAATGTGGCCATTAAGAAGCTCAGCAGACCCTTTCAGAACCAAACTCATGCCAAGAGAGCATACCGGGAGCTGGTCCTCATGAAGTGTGTGAACCATAAAAACGTGAGTATTGTTATTTTTAAAACTCTGGCAGTGGGAGGTTGTGCAATTTGGGGAAGAAATTAACTGTGCCAACTTGAGCAGGAAGAGCGTTCTTTACTTAGTGGTTTCTGCCTCTTAAGATTGTTTATCCTACCCATATGCTACATTTGATTTCATTGTCCTCCTGGTAGATTTCTGCTTAAAAATCATCCCCAAACCATATGGCATGGAGGAGATAAATTTGTTAGATATTCTCCTGTAATAAAATTAACCTTATTTGGTTATCTTGCTCCAAGTTAAGAGGGCTTCATGCTTTTAAAAATGAAAAGCCATAACAAAGTGAACAAAATCTTTGTAGAACTGAATGTTTTATTTCCTTTCTTTACAATTTCAACTTAATTGTTAACAGGTGAAGATTTTTATTCATTATGTTATCATCTTATGTTTTAGAAGTAGTCTGTAGGCCTTCAACTGTTTGGCGTAGACACTGGGTGTTGGCATCTTGTCTTTCGTAGGATTGGGCAAACACGCAAGAACCTATTTGCAAAGCTCTCCAGAAATGACTCATCGAGGGCATTTTCTTATTGGTACTCAGCAGAGTAGACTATTACAGGACTCTCCTCACTGGGGGCTAAGCTTCTTCCCTCACATCAAAGGACTGTAGAATTCTTTTATGTTCCAGTTTTTCACAGTAAGGATAAAGAGGAGATAATTCATTATTTTAATAATGACTACTATTAATAAACAATGAACTATTAATATATTAAAAAATTTTAAATAGTTTTTCATATATACATAATAAAATAAATGATAAATTATTATAAATAAAGCTGTAATAATACCTATTATGTCTCCTTACAAAATTCTGAAGTATAAAAATAACTCAGAATACATGAAATTATCAGTACAAGGGATCTTGTCAAAAGGCTAACCATTTATTGGTAGCACCAAAAAGAAGCAAATGTAAAAGAGCTTAATTGAATGATATTGGAAGTACAAGTATGTAGATTCAGACCCAGCAACGGTGTTTCTATTTTCTTCTATTACTTTACTCTATAGACCTTTTAATCAGGTTGGTTCTTTTCTTGCTCTTGATTTGTTTGAGATCAATAAGTTTTGCTTTCGTTTTTGTTTTTTTTTTTTGAGAGATATTTTTGCTAGAGGACACGTGTACTCACCAGAGAGGCAGAGAGGCAGAAAACGAGAAATTACCCCCCCCAAGAGGGATGGCCACACCGCGATCCCTTCTCTCCCATCTCACACAATCCCTGTGTGTTAGAATGATGGCATTTCTACTCTCAGTGTTGGTCCTCAAATAACATAATGAGTCACCTTTATATAAAGAATTACTGGGTCTAGCAGATGGCATAATGGTTATGTCGCTGAATTGCCATGTAGTCAACTGTGGTTTGAATCCTAGACCCGGGGACTTAAAAACTCACACCAGGTGCATGTGCATGCATGCCTAAAATTCCAAGAGGGGAATGAAGGAGAAAGGATTGCAGCATGGTGGTCATCCCCCCTGGAGTGTGGTTTCTTGCTTTCTGTTGCTCTGTCTCTCTGGCGAGCATACCCGCACTATAGCAAAAATCTCTCTTGAAAAAAAAAGGAATTGCATGTTTTGGGAGTTGTATTATAAGTGGACACTGGTTAAACTTTTGGTGGAGATATTTTAGAGAGGATTTTGGTATGCATGCACATGCTCCTGGTGTGAGTTTTAAGCCCCTGAGTCCAGGATTCATATAGCATTTGACTACTTGGGAGTCCAGCGATGTACTCATCACACCATTTGCTGGTCCTGAGACCAATGACTTTTTAAGTTGAATAACATGTGCGTGTTGAGTAAATGAAATGTGACAGGTGCAGACTGAGATGCCCTAGATGGTGGGAGATGCAGTGAAAAAAATAGATGCAAGTCCCTGACCACATGCAACTGAAGCCCTACTGGTGAGAGAGGCAGTCCACAAAATAGACAGGTCAATGTGTAGAATGTCAGAAGGTGACGAGTGCTCCCAAGTGAACCAGAGCAGAGAAGGAAGATTTTTAAAAAGCAACTCAACGTGGGATGGCATAGGGTTGACTTTTAAATAAGTTGGATAGGGCAGGCCTCACTAAGAAAGGGAGATTTTATAATGGAATGTACCCCTTTCTAAGATGGGTGTTCAAGGAATATGAGACTTTCAGAAAGAAAAAGAGAAATAATAGAAAGGCTGCTTCCTAAAAAGAACAATTACACTAAAGCATTTTCTCTTTCAGTATGTTGAGTAAATGCTGGAACAAGGTTAACAAAATGACAAAACCAGATATTTTTATGGTAGTAAAGAAGATGACACCATGGCACATACGATAGCAAGAGAGGATGGTGGATACAAGCAGCGAAGTAACTGTCTGAGAGGTTTTCATGCACAGTTATTTCCCTACTCCTTCCAGATCCTACAGTGTAATACGCTGTGAAGAAATCCCCACTTATTCAGCTGATTTGAAGGAATCGACCCTTCTTGGCTAAAATGTTGGGGACTCACATTCATGATACCTAAAAAGAAGTTCCAAACTGCAATGTGGTTTGTTTATAGCATCCCACATAAAAGCACGCTATCTTCCCTTTATGTGTGTTTGTATGCATATACTTAAGTCTACAGAAACAAATTTCTGGGATTTGTTAATGGAGAGGAAGTTCCCTTACAATCAAATATAAATTCTGCATTAGTACAGACTTGTAATACTAAGTAAAAGGCAGTCAGAATATAGAACTCTGTTAATGCTGTGGAAAACAAAGGAAAACAGTGAGGCAATCCTATTAAATTTTTAATAATAGTGAAGAAAGTTTACTTAGAAAATAAATACTCAGTTCTAGGAAGTGATAATTGATGTGATTGTGGGTACATGACAAACATTGATTCATAGCTACTCATCTCAAGATGCTGCAATAAAAGAACTGAGTCAGATTTCTTCCTGGAAATTGTTGAACTGAAATGGGAATACCTATGATAACCTCTGTCCAAGGACAAGTTTTTAAACTGGTTAATGGAAGAAATTAACTTATAAGGGAACAAAGAAAGAATGGAGAAGAAATCCCCAAAGGTAAATCAGAGAGGGAAAAGGTTATAAAAACACGGGCATAAAAAAGGGAAAATAAGAACATACAGTAGGAAATAGATCTTGAGCGATTACCTTTAAAATTAATAAACCTTAGGCCAGCTGGTGATGTAATTAAGGTAGCTGGATCTCATGTGGCTAACTGAGCAGTTCAAGTGCCAGACCTGGCAGCTTGAAAAACGCACTAGGTGGAGCCAACAGGTGGTGTGGTGGTTAAAGGTGCCGGACTCCTACATGGCCAACCATGGTTCGAGTCCTGGATCTGGCAGGTTGCTTTCTCACTTTTCCTCTCTCTCTCTCTCACTCTGTCCCTCTCTGGTCAAATTAAAACAAACAAACAAACAAACAAAATAAGGTTCAACAAATAATTATTTTAAAAAAGCAAAAGAAAAACACACTAGGCATATGTACATGCATGACCAAAATCCCAAAAGGAGAGGGAAATAGAAGAGAAGAGATTGCAATGTGATCATCTCCCATTGAGGGTGTTTTCTTACTTTGTCTCACCCTCTCTGGTGAATGTACCCACCCTCTGGAAAAATTAAAAAGAAAAATAAATAAATCATGATTAATTTAACATTATAATATTTATTTCTAGACTAATTTAGATTACATAGATTATTTTTAGTAGTTTATGTGGATTAGCATTTTTTCACCTTAAAGGGTATTAAACATGCAGGTATTTTTGCCCCACACACAGTCTAATGTCTTTGAACAAATATCAGGATGAAATAAGTTACTTTATGTGATTGATAAAGAACATCTCTAGATGTTTCAGTGCAGGATGTACCACATAGTTTTAGCACTTACTATGATTTAATATATAGAATAACAAGACCCTTTCTAAAGGGTATTTCAAGACAATTTTATTTTCATGTGCATGTTCCATACTACAGGGTTGTTTTAGAAGACATGATCCCCAGTTCTTGTGCTATGTCACAATCATTGTTATTTATATGTATACTAAGAAATATGTGGCATGGTGATTTTTTTCAATAATTTTCAACAAATGAAATCTAGTTGAGACATGAACATTCCATAGAATTGATAACATTTTTCAGATGTTTCAAGTCATATTTTTTACCTTGTATATTTCTACACTACTTATGAAGTTTATTAAAATTTGTTGACTCATGCTTTGAACCTGTTAAAATCTTGTACTTTTTCCAGTTTTTGTGAAACTGTTGAATTACCTTGTGAGTAGAAAATGTTAGCTATATAGTTTTATTTCCGTTTCCCACCAGCCTATTAGTACTAGATATTTAGCTGGAAGAACATTTTGAATTGTTTATATATGCAGTCTATGTGGAAATATGATAAAAGATTTAATTTTTTAAATGTATGCCAGAAGGTAAACTAATAAGCAAGTATACTATCTAAGGTATAAAATAATAAAGGCAGAAAACAAGTTTAGAACTGAATATATAGACCAGCTCCACAGCCTGTTGGTTATGGCAGCCAAATATCACAGGCCACCAGTGGTTCAAATTCCAGCCTCGGAAGTTTGAAACACCTGCCGGGACCATGTGTGGTGCACGGAGGAGAAGAGATTATTGCATGGCCGTGCCCCAGTGGGAGTGCTTTCTCTTTTTCTTTCTCTCTGTCTTTCTCTGGCACATGCACACAACCCTGGCAATTTAGGGGGGGAAAAGAAAAAGAACTAAATGCAGATAACCTTTAAAATATATTTTCCACTAACTTCATCACCGATGCCATCCAAAATGCACTCTCCTCACACCTATCATTTAAATCTTACTTTAAATAATATTTGAGTGTAAGATAGAAGTAAAAGAAAGTAAAGTAATAGCACAAAAAATAATCTTGAAATAGAATGTCTCTTTGTTTATTTGGAGGAAAACTGTTATTTGGGTAAGTCTTGCTGCTGGTTTCATTACTGCCCTCTTCTCACGCATGGCTCTTCCTACTTTTTTGTTTGGTGCCCTTAGAGCTCAATATTCTACCACGGAGAACCCCACTGTAAGGCAGGATGACAAGTATACATCTGTTTTGGGGCATTCATCTAAGAGTTTGAGTTTTTTTTTTTTTTTTTTTTTTTTGAGAGTTTTTTTTTATAGGGGCCGTGCTCCCCTTTTTATATAGGGCACGTGCACTCACCAGAATGAGAGAGACAGAGAGACAGAAAGCGAGAAATCACCCCCCAGGGGGATGGCCACACCACAATCCCTTCTCCTCCATTCTCCTCTCAGGATCCTGGGCATGCACACACAAGCGCCCAGTGTGAGTTTAAGCTACCAGGTCTGTAACCTGAACCACGGTCAACTACGTGGGAGTCCAGTGACATAGCCATTACACCAACTGCTGGTCCCAGAATTTGAGCTTTTGAACAGCATTAGTAACTTGAAAATTGATCATATGTCCTTTCTGAATATACTTTTCTACATTCTGTGAGACAATTCTAAAAATGTTCCCTGCTTTTCTATTTCTCCTGTAGCAGTAGTGAGTGACTTTGAGTTATAATAAATACATATACTTTTGAATAATTTATTCTCTTTTTCTCTTTTTTTCCCTTCTGTCCCTTCCACTCTCTTTCTTCCAGATTATTAGTTTATTAAATGTCTTCACACCGCAGAAAACACTGGAGGAGTTCCAAGATGTGTAAGTAACAAAATTCATGAAGGAATAGAGAACGCAGCATTTCAATAATTCAATTAAAAGTGACCAAAGGGTGAGAGGGAAATCCCTTGACTAGATCAGAGTTAAGAGCTAGGATCAAATGAAAGGGATCCTGTGACAGGTAGAGAAGATTCTGTTGTTTCACTTTCTGTGGAGACATTTCTGGTTCTTTTTGGTCTTACAGCTGCCTGGGCTTTGCTGATCCATCTTCTTGGTTCGATCAGGGAAAGCTTCTTTATTTATGTGTTTATTTATTTATTATATATTTTGAACTTTCCAGAATGTGTCAACTTTGAGAAATATTAATAAAAAGATATCATAAAGTATCTTTATTCTTTATTTCTATTTTTGTGGTGCCTTTGCTTCTATGCAAGAAACATCTATGTGAAAATATAATGACAATAAACTGGGTAGGGCAAGCAACTCCCAGCACATGGTTTTCTTTAACATACATACGT